CCGCATATTCTCCGAAGAGAACAGCATTTGTGGCCAGAAGTTCGGCAAGTTGCAGAACTCCCCGGAGCATAACGACTCCGCTTTTACGATCAGTAGCCCCCCAGACTACGACCCGGATTACTTAATGGGCGCAGAGGAGGCGGGCCCAACGTCTCCTCTCAAAAAGTCCCCGTGGTCCGCCCACATGAACATTAGTGACGACAAGAATAACAGTAACGACTCTTCAGAGACAGCCAACGAGAGCTTCTCGCCCAACGTGCTCATGGGCTCGTTGGTGCGCGAAGAAGGGCACATATACTCGTTGGCCTCCTCTGGAGACTTATTGTACACGGGTTCGGATAGCAAGAACATTCGGATTTGGAAGAAGCACCACGAGTATTCGGGGTTCAAGTCGAATAGCGGGCTGGTAAAAGCGATCATCATAGCGAGGGAGAAGATCTTCACCGGTCATCAAGACGGGAAAATTAGGGTTTGGAAGGTGTCCTCCAAGAACGCAAGCAATCACAAGCGGATAGGAACTTTGCCAACGTTGAAGAATTACATAAAGTGTTCCATGAAGCCAAGTAATTACGTGGAAGTGAAACGCAATAGTAAAGTCCTATGGATCAAGCACCTTGATTCCATCTCATGCTTGAGCTTGAGCGAAGATCAGACGTTGCTTTACTCGGCCTCCTGGGACAAGACGTTTAAGGTTTGGAGGGTTTCAGATTTCAAGTGCTTAGAGTCAATTACCGCTCATGACGATGCCGTTAATGCCTTGGTTGTTGGATTCGATGGATTGGTCTTCACCGGATCCGCGGATGGAACGGTGAAGATTTGGCGAAAAGAGTTACAAGGAAAAGGGACAAAACACTTCTTCTCACAAACGCTTTTAAAGCAAGAATGCGCGGTCACAGCATTGGCTGTGAACTCGGACGCCACGATCATTTATTGTGGATCGTCCGATGGGCTAGTCAACTTTTGGGAACGGGAGAAGAACCTCCAACACGGCGGAGTTTTGAGAGGACATAAGCTGGCGGTTCTATGCCTGGCCACGGCCGGGTGCTTGGTATTCAGCGGCTCCGCGGACATGGGGATTTGCGTATGGAGAAGAGTAGATGGGGACCACATTTGCTTGTCGGTGCTGACGGGGCACACTGGGCCGGTGAAGTGCTTGGCCGTGGAGAGAGATAATGAGAACTCAACGCCCGGAGAGAAAAGGTGGACAGTGTACAGTGGGAGTTTGGACAAGTCGGTGAAGATGTGGAGGGTTTCGGAGCAAGCACCGCCGATGGTGCCTAATCAGAAGCACCAGCATTACACGTCGGATGGATATTGTGTGCCAATGTTGAGCGCGGCGCCTAGCTTTGCTTCCCGTGGAGGGAAAATGGGTTCAAGAAGATTTTAGGGTTTGATTTATGTATGATCAGATTTATTATGATGGTGTGATCAATGGATGCGACTTTGTGCATGCTTATAACATGTTTGTCGATAGAAGGTTTGGCTCGGTGGGTTTGTAAAGCCAAATTTTTAGGGCATGAGTGGGATGCCAAATTCACCACTTGTTGATCTTGAGGTCACAAATTAACAAACATATATACCGTGTCTGAAGGATTTTAATTGCGTAGCTATACATTTTAATCATGTTTTCAACTCTACATGCATGCGCGTGTTTTGTTGGTCGTCTTTCGTTTATTTGAGTTGGGCTTACAAATTAAACAAATAAAATTATGGCTTGAAAAAACTAATTACCAATTAAAATTCTATCTACTTTATAATGATGATTAAGACTTCACACCATCTTTGATTCCTATATTTATGCTTCGTCAGTATTGAAAGTAACGAATGTGAATCACCAAAAGTCTTCTCATACGCGTGACAATATGGCAGCTCTTAGAATATCTTAATTAATATTTAGTAATTTTCAATGGGTATGATATATTTAGGTTAGGTGTGAGGAATCTCTCTCTCTCTCTCTGGCTGTAACTTGCAAGCAACCTACCTTTGAATTTAACTTTTGGTGGTTTTGGACTATCAGGAGTCAAAGATGAAAACAAGTTGATGAATATATATTAGTTACTGTACTGTGCATCGGACTTTTGTAATAAGTTGGTTGATTTATGAGAAGTTCTACATTCCTATTGATTAATGGTGGTGTTACTGTCATCCTCCATTCCTATTTTCTGCTCCTATCTCCCTACTAGTAGTAGTACTCATCATAAAATTATATATTTATATATATTAATTTCCGAGGAATTCTTCAAATAATTTTATTTGAGGGACACCCTTTAAAGTTCCCTACAATTTTTTTTCAACAATCCAAACTATCTATTTTTTAAGTTTACATTCATAAATCATCATTGCAAAAAATTAGATAAATCAGAAACCGTTTCGACATCCAATTGTATCATACAAAATCAATGAACACGACGCTTTAAGAAAGTACTAAAATTTCAATATTTCAATTGAGTGGTCAAATGATATCGGATTCAAGTGATTTTTTGTAGAGATGATCTTTGAATGAATATCTACAAAAATAGATAGTTTGGATTAGTGAAATACAATAAATAGTGTGGGTCATACAAGGATGTCCCTCAAATAAGCTTATTTGAGGTATCCCTCAAATGAACCTTCCTATATATATATAACACTAATTGTCTTTTCACTTTTTGTTGATTGTCAATGATGCATTTCTATTTGTGATTAGAGGTGTCTAATGGATCAGGTCGACCTGAGTATGATCCGAGTAAGTAAGGCCCGACACAGCATGACTCGTATTTTTAGATAGGTCGTGACATGATAATTTGGCCCAACAAGCTGGGCTAGCCCGAGGCCCATCTTAGCCATGTCGACCCGAAGCTCAATGAGCCAGCCCGTTTAAAGCCCACTTTTTAAAGGACTAAAACTAAACGTCTATGATAAACAAAAACGCTTATGAAAGCGTTGAGTAAAAAAGACTTATGGAAAAAGTACTTTGTATGTAAGTAGTCTCAAAAGCGCTTTGATCCATCAACTGTGTGCAACTAAATATATCATTGGGGTCGATAGATTGAACCGCCCTCCATCTTAAAGGTTCTCTTATTAATCTTGGGTGATGATTTTTTCACTCTCTTTTTGTTCACTTAGAGCATCTCCAAGGGAGATGTCAAATACCAAACATCAAATTTAAATTTGATGGCTGATGTGGCAATTTGACATTTACACAATTTTACACTCCACCCGATATGTCAAATAAATAATTATTTCAACAGTCAAATCATTCAAGATAAAGAAGAAAAAAATAATAAATGAAAATAATAAATGAAAGTAACAGTCAGCTGTCTTTAAAAAATAATAAAATATTTATTTGACATCTTGCTTTTGGGTTGTCAAAAATAACAGCTGAATCTCCAACCTTCATTCCACATCAGCTTTGACAATTCGGTTGGAGTGATATGAGATGTTATTTCTAGCCATTAAATGTCAATATGGGACTTTTGACATATCGGTTGGAGATGCTCTTACATTCTATTTTGTTTTTTTTAATACATTTTACTATAACATACAACTTTCAACAAAGGAGTGTAAGTGGACAAAAGAAGAGTGGAAACATACAATTTCCAATAAATAAAGTATAAATTGACAAAATAGGAAAACTCAAGCTCCTTAATCTTTGAATATATATGCAACTTTTTGACGTTTAGTAACAAATTCCTAATTCTGGCTACTATTTTAGATATATTATTTTTATCAAATAATTCTGGCTACTACTTCATAACACGCACGTTATACACGAATTGTAATATTTAAGGACTTTTAGAAAAATGGTGCTGGTGGGTTCCGTAAAAATGCACTATAATATATCATGCATGCCGACAAATGAAAAAAAAAATTGCTTTTGAACTTTTTTAGCACAACCTTTATCTAATAACCATAAGATTTAAACTAGCCAATCCAAAGCATTTTGCTTATCCATACAGTACAGAAATGTAAGGTCCATATCGTTATATATGATTTGAGTCACAAATTTGAACTATATACTAGTGGAGAGTGTGTATATATATATAGGTGCAGAGGTGGGGTTGAACTACAAACAATTTAAGAATATATTTTTCTTTTTACTGTTTTCTAAAATACAAACTATAGTCTAAACTACAAGGGGAGGAGATTTCTAACACACACAGTATCAAGGTGCCACATGAGTTCAAACGTAAGACCATTAATCTACATATTGAGACCTTTTCGCCACACTCTGTTGGCTTCTTTTCACTATTTCTTAATAGCCTAAAAACACTTGCAACATCACAAGTGTTGCAATCTCTATAATATCCAAACTCAATCAATAAAAAATATATATGATATGAGACATTTCTTTATATTCTCACAATTGAAAACGCCATATTTGTGATATCTAAAGAAGAAGAACCCAACACAAAGCAAGTTACGTTTTACCCTATGTACCGGTTTTTATAAGGGGGATGCTTAAATACTAATTCTCAAGACGCTTGTCAAATATTATTGCAGTTCAAATTAGGTTTTGACATTGATGAAAAGCATTTCAAGTATCAACGAGACATAAATGAAAGAATAAAATTTCCACGAATGTATATATCTAAAAATTTGATCGAAGGCATGACAATATCATATGTAATTGTTGTAAAGTTTTCATTTTATATCTGTTGGAAAAATTATTATATGATCGAAGCCAACATTCATAATTGGAATTTCATGTTTAGAACAAGCAGCCCATTATTGCAGATTTCGTTGCAGGAGAGAGCATTAAATGTAACTGAACTCAACAAAGCAACAGAGAATCCTAAATCCAGTTCCACGCTCAGAAAATTGATTGGTTGCAACTCCGCCAAAGCAGAACGACATCCCAACAGTAAATATAAAAAGCGCATAAAAGAAAAATTCCGTAATGCCCTTTCGTGGTCCTCTTCGATATCAACACCACGGCAAAAAAGACAAAAGTACCCCAAACTGGACCCCACCCCTCTCCACCAACCCAGAAAAGGGGAAAGAAAAAAAAAAAGTAGTAAAAGATTCCAATCCAAAAACCAGCTTGCTGTATATATTTTTTCTTCACTTCTCCCCCTGTCACTCTCTCAGTCCCCCAACTTTCCCAACACATTTTCCTTCTCCCCAAACGCTATCCTCACCTTCTCTCACCTTCAGCTTCCCATGAAAACTTCTCCTCTCTCCTTTTCTCAATCCCTTTCCTCCATTTTCACTCCACTCTCCACCAATCAAAATTCAGCCAAGCCATTGCCTTCCTTGTGAATTTGTAGTCTCAATCCCGAGCTCATGTTCTAGATGATTCTGTGCCGTTCCTGCTCAAATTAGGGTTTCGAGCTAGATTTCGACGACGCAATGCCTTCAGGAGCCGACGATGGGGCCCAATACTCTTTTGCTATAGAGTACAAGGGTCCTCCGGTCAATTACGATCTGCCCCGGGCAGTTCCGATCAACGTCGATAGAATCCCGGTGGCGGCGGTGGTCGGACCGGTCTCGCTGCCTGAGAAACTCACCTTACCCGTGGTCCAGCCCGTACTGGCACCCAAAACCTTCTCCAAGGAGCTCAAAAAATCTACAGTCTCTCCCACTTCCGTTTTCGATCGAAGCAGCGAGGACGACACGAAGGAATTGGAAGGCTCGGAATCGACGGTTTCGCCGACTTCGGTGATTGGATTTGAGGAGAGAGTTGTGGAGAGTGGGGTTGGCTGTGCGTTGTCTGGTGAGTTGAGTAGCTCTGGTGCGTTGGAGTTTTCGAATGGGTTAAATTACAGGTCGGGTGAGTTTTCGGATGTGAATAATGGTGGGAAGGAGAGTCTGGACTTCAATAGCGATTCGAATCAACCCGAACCTGATCCTGATTGGGCCTCAACGGAGTCCGTTTTGAGCTTGGACTATCCGTCGTCTCGGGTTTCATCCAGTAAGGCCTTGGATTGTGATGTACGACGGCCTCCGCTTGTGACGTTTCGGGACATTGAGTCTGATGATGGTGTTGATGAAGAGGAAGCTGAGGTTGTACAGGCCAAGCGGCTGGTGCGTTGGAGTTTTCGAATGGGTTAAATTACAGGTCGGGTGAGTTTTCGGATGTGAATAATGGTGGGAAGGAGAGTCTGGACTTCAATAGCGATTCGAATCAACCCGAACCTGATCCTGATTGGGCCTCAACGGAGTCCGTTTTGAGCTTGGACTATCCGTCGTCTCGGGTTTCATCCAGTAAGGCCTTGGATTGTGATGTACGACGGCCTCCGCTTGTGACGTTTCGGGACATTGAGTCTGATGATGGTGTTGATGAAGAGGAAGCTGAGGTTGTACAGGCCAAGCGGGAACCTCAAAGCAAAGGGAAGAAGAAGACGTGCTATCGGTGTTTTAAGGGGACCAGGTTCACTGAAAAAGAGGTTTGCATTGTCTGTGATGCCAAGTATTGCAGTAGTTGTGTGCTTAGAGCAATGGGGTCGATGCCCGAAGGTAGAAAATGTGTGACTTGCATTGGGTTTCCTATTGATGAGTCTAAAAGAGGGTGCTTGGGAAAGTGCTCTAGAATGCTCAGGCGGCTGTTGAATGATTTGGAGGTTCGACAGGTGATGAAAGCTGAAAAGTTTTGTGAAGCAAATCAGCTGCCGGCGGATTATATTTGTGTGAATGGACAGCCTCTTTGTCATGAGGAGCTGGTTATATTGCAAACCTGCACAAATCCACCAAAGAAGCTAAAACCAGGAAACTATTGGTATGATAAAGTTTCTGGTCTTTGGGGAAAGGTGAATATGGTTTACTTGATTCGTTTTGTTGTTTCTTGTTGTCTTGTCATTGTGCTAACACCCTTTTGGAATTTCGTGTTGCTGTTGAATTTTAACAGGAAGGGCAGAAGCCTTCTAAGATAATTAGTCCCCATCTTAGTGTTGGGGGTCCCATCAAGACAAATGCTAGCAATGGAAACACACAGGTTTACATAAATGGTCGGGAAATTACCAAAGTAGAGCTTCGGATGTTGCAGGTTGAATAGACTTTCTAGACATATAGAATCATTGTTGCAACTGGTTAATGTGCAGGGTTAATTGAAACTTTTTTTCAACATTGCAGTTGGCAGGGGTTCAGTGTGCTGGTAACCCACACTTTTGGGTGAATGAGGATGGGTCATACCAAGAGGAGGGCCAGAAGAACACTAAAGGATACATATGGGGAAAGGTATGGTTTCTGAGAATACTTGCATTCATCATTTATGTTTTGTTTGCTTCTTTAGATTTTCGTGTATGTTAAATTACTCTTAATTACTTATTCAGGCTGGAACAAAGCTAGTATGTGCTGTCTTGTCACTACCAGTCCCTTCTAAATCTTCAAATCCTTGCGGAGAACCCCTGAACTATGTGGGTACCAGAGTCGTTCCTGATTACATTGAGCAGAGAATACTTCAGAAGATCCTTTTAGTTGGATATAATGGTTCCGGAACAAGTACTATATTCAAACAGGTGATTGATTTATCGGGAATTATGTGTGTAATGTCTCATACTTGCTATTCTGTTTATGTGAAGATGACTTGTCTATAGTAAACTCTGAAGCTGAATAAATTATTGTTGTTTTAAGTTTCAAGAGATGGATAATATCTCCAAATCAACATATGTGTATAACATGTGTGGTTTGTAAGTTAAATCTCGCTTCAATAGTGGTGCATAAAATAATTACACTTTTTGCTTGCTTCTCAGAGTCTAGTTTACGTGTTGACAAAAAAATGAGAAAACAACTTCTAGTCAAGCTTTATGCCTTAAATTTTTATGCAGTTATTGTTCAAGCATACTTTCTGAAAATGGTAGTTTTGTTTTCATATGGATTTTGAATTGTATGTGTGCTACATGTAATAGCAAACATACTGGAAAAGAATAGTCATTGAGTCTTTGTTTTAAGATATATTGACTAGGATGCATTTCTTAGCCAACAGGTTTGCACTTGGTTTTCAGTTTCTAATTCATATCCAGTCGTTCAGAATGGAGCTCTTATTCTGCACCAAATTTTGATAAACCCTTACAAAGTACGTTTACCTTTTGTAATTATGAATGTTTGTTCCAGGCCAAGATTCTATATAAAGCTATCCCTTTCTTGGAGGATGAGCGTGAAAATATCAAGTTCACAATACAGAGCAATGTGTATGGCTACCTTGGTATACTCCTTGAGGGCCGTGAGCGGTTTGAAGAGGAATGTTTGGATGAGATGAGGAAACAATGTTCTTCCAGTCAAACAGATGCCAATGGTATGATTGTATATACTTTTATAACTTTTTCCATCTCTTTGACTTTATGCATGTGTGCATCTTCATACCCATAGTTTATATTGTTCAGAATGAGAACTAGATAACGTGTTTATAAGATATTTATATGTCAAAACAATTGTTTGACAGCAGATTTGACTTTATGTAAATTCCACTTTAAGGAATTCAGTTTAATTTTTTTGCATTGATTGATTAACAATGTATTATTATAATTCTCTTAGTCAGGTTGGCTAGTCATGCATCATACTTGGAGAGGCTTGCATTCTGAATAACCATGTTGAGATTGATATATTGCTTAAAAAATTCACTTCTGGTTAATAGCAGGGAATAATGACAAAACTCTTTACTCCATTGGGCCGAGGCTGAAAGCATTCTCTGATTGGCTTCTCAAGACTATGGTGTCAGGCAATCTGGAAGCCATTTTTCCAGCGGCTACTCGTGAATATGCACCATTGGTTGAAGAGTTGTGGAAAGATTCAGCCATTCAGGCCACATACAAGCGGAGAAGTGAATTGGAAATGCTACCTAGTGTTGCTACTTATTTCTTAGAGAGGGTAAGATGATGCTGTGTGCTCCTGTGTTTAACTCTTGTAAATTGTTTCTGTGGTACTCATGCTGTTCAATAGTATTATCTTGTGCTTAATCTAATGGACTGGGTCTATTAATTGTACAAATTTTGTATCAACTAATGGGGACTATAGGAAAGATGGGGATGCACAATATCTGTGGAGGAAGAGATATAATTGTGGTTGTAAGATAGAGTGAAATCCTGTAAAATATGCTGATTTATTATAAAAATAGCACAGAGAGCAAGAGTTGGGGCAACTGATTAGGTTGGGAGTGCCCTTAACACACATCTCTAACTAGGCCATTTTGCAGATGCAAGTATATGATCATATCCTTGGACATGTTTTTAGTTGTAGTTCAAACAAACAAAATTGTGCTAATGGGGAAGATGTACTGGTTCGCTCTAGTCAACGTGTGTTAAAAAGACCAAGTGGAGGTCTTAATTCTTAGGTCTATTTTTGGCTCTGGGAATGCTTGGTTGCCAGATAATTGCTTGTCCTTCATCTGTTTCATAATGTATTACTCCAAATCTCATTTGTGGCTTGCAGTTTATTATTATGCTTTCTAAAATTGAAATTTTCCCTTTTCAGGCTGTGGACATATTAAGAACAGACTATGAGCCCTCGGATCTAGACATCCTATATGCTGAAGGTGTAACTTCATCTAATGGGCTAGCTTGTGTGGACTTCTCATTTCCCCACTCAGCATCTGAAGATAGCATCAACACTAGTGATCAGCATGACTCTTTGCTTAGGTTTGTTACCCTGTTTATTTCACATTTCAGATGACCCTGAGCTGCTTACTTTTTGTTTTTTGTTTTGTAAATAATTATTTCTACTGATAAGCTCATGTGTGGATAAGTGTTGGTGAAAAACCATGGAAATAGATAGATTAGATGCTTGGAAAACTGAAGTTAAAGCTAGAAATGGTAACATAAATATATTCAGTTTGTTTCCTTGTACTGTCGAACACCTTGAGTTGACTGCTACTTTCATATTCTCTTTTTCATTTCCACTGGTCGCTGAGACGATGTTTACTTCTTGCTTTGTTCACTTTGACTGTTCATTAACCTTTCTTTTATCTGGTTGCTTCGTAGGTACCAACTTATTAGAGTAAATGCAAGAGGACTTGGAGAAAACTGCAAATGGTTGGAGATGTTTGAAGATGTTGGAATGGTCATCTTCTGCGTGTCCTTGAGCGACTATGATCAGTTTTCTGCCGATGGGAATGGGTCTTTCACTAACAAGATGTTGCTGAGCAGGACTTTCTTTGAAAGCATTGTTACTCATCCAACCTTCGAGCAGATGGACTTCCTTTTGATTCTAAACAAGTTTGATTTGTTTGAGGAAAAGGTAGAACGGGTGCCGTTGAATCAGTGTGACTGGTTTGACGATTTTCATCCAGTGATTACCCGTCATCGCTCGAATAGCAACACCAGCAGCAACAACATTAATAGTAGCCCCTCATTGGGTCATCTAGCATCCCACTACATTGCAGCAAAGTTCAAGAGGCTCTATTCTTCTCTAACAGGGAAGAAATTGTACGCTTCCGTGGTTAAAGGCTTGCAGCCTGATAGCGTGGACACAGCTCTTAAATATTCGAGGGAGATTTTGAAATGGGATGAAGAGAGAGCCAATTTCAGCTTTGATTATTCGGTCTATAGCACTGAGGCAAGCTCCTTTTCACATTGATGTCAAAACTGAAAAGGCTTGTAAATGAGTTTTACTTTAGTGTGACATTTATCAATTCCACTGTGAATATAATGGTTTGTATATGAGCAATAGAAAAGATCGTTGCCTTCAACCAGGCCTAGCAGCTTCAAGATTTTCAAGGTCATTGAGCATAATTCTTAGAATATTTTTTTAAAGAGAACAATATTATACAAGAGAACATGCTCTAGAAAAGCTTCTACAACTGTGCCTGACATGCATGTGAGAAAATCCTTATCTTATTGACAATTCTTATCAGGAAAACAAAAACAGGCATCTTTCACAAGAGAATTGTTTTTGTACGGAAATAAAATTGAGAGGAAAAGAATTTATAGATAACCAATAAATAGGCAATTTCATTCTATTTTTTGCTCTTCCCCCGGCCCACATCTAATACACGAATCAAAATAAAAAATCAGCTGCAAATACAAAAATTACTTATACATGAAATAAGTTACATCTGAGTTTTGTTGTATAATTCCCAAAACTCTCCATTCTATGAAGGAGAACCAACCACACCCGAAGAAAGGAAAAAGCAAGAATCTCTAACATAAAGGAATCTTCAGTCATCTACAAAACTGAATCGAATCTGTTCTTGCGAACTCAATAAAATGTTTTTCGTAGACCAACCCAAAGTCAGCATTTGCTCGTTCAAGAGGCACATATCGCCTTGTGCACGGCGCTTGCACTCCTCAATTAATTTAGACCACTCCTTCAGAGCTGACTCTAATTCATCTCCAGCATCAAACAAATTCTCCCACCTATACTTGTTCATAAGGAGGGATTTGCGGATATAGCATGCCTACATAGCATATTATCACACACATTCACAAAAAATGAGGAGCCAGAAACTGTTTACAGTGCAAGCATCACACCAATTTAGTAATGGTTCAAAAGTTTTTCTATTTCTTGAAAAAAAGTTAATTTTACCTGTAACAAACCCATGACAATATCTGTTGTGCTGGATCCTTCCCGTACACAAATAAGGATGCCTTGCTAGAAATCATCAAGGGAAAGAAATTAATATCATTAGAGTATGATACATAAGCACATGAAATGTAGGTTGAATATCTGCTAATATACTTACTCGCCTACTCCCTCTAATTCTTGTGTAGAAGATCTCCATGGATATGAAGTAATAATCCTCACCACTTGTAGAACGCATTGTCATCGCGGACAACTCGGGGATCTGATTCTTGGGATCCAAGTACCCTATTCTGATAGGCCATAATCCTTTGTCTGATTCAAACCGTAGTTATCGGCCTTAAGCTCATAGGTGCTTGCATAAAAAGCAAGCCACTGAACAAGGTTATAAGAAATGCATGTGAAAGACCTAACCTTTGCTCCTTAGGAAATCAATTCCTTCCTCTTTACTAACTTCTGCAGGTGCAGGAACATAACCTAACTCAATCCAAGTATTTAGTAGAATTTCAAGTCTATCCTGAACACAAGAACCAAGCAAAAGCGAGACGCTGAAAATTAAGATACTTATTTATCAGGAAATTTCATTTAGTCCTCTAATAATGGGTAATGAGGCATATGTTGTGCAGGCTACTAAAAGAAATAAGATAGAAAAGATAAGAATCACTCACCTTAGTTAATGTTTGTAAATGGACATGTTTAAGCCCTTGATATATTGCAAAGAGGTCAATCACTGAGAAAATGGGGTATACAAAAAAGGGCAAGGCTGTTTGCAATCTGGCACGGCAATCACAATTTAGAAAAGCATGCAAAGAATAGGATTTGATAATCATAACAGTGAATACATCAAATAGGAAGAAAAGTCAAGTAATGGAAGCTGGAAAAGAGAACCTTTGGCTGTTCTTGAACAACATATTTAACAGTGCAGCAAGCAAAAGGCCAAGGTTATCAAAGCACACTGTTTGAATCTGAAAAAATTCCAACAGCCAAAATATGTTTTGTTTCAAGTATACAAAAGATAATTAATTTCTAGGAAAGATTATAGCATACCTGTGCCTTTGCAGAAACTTCACCAAGGTTATCTGCTATTGCAAAACTTCGATGAACAGCGGACTGCACATACAGAGGAAGAACATTAACACTCAAAATGAGAAGGAGCCAAAACCCAACCTCATACAACTTTAGCAAGAAAAAGTGTCTCAGTTCTTACACCAGTCGCTAGATAGCAAGCCAAGCTTATTTGTTTTGCCATGTTGGCTAAGGATGCCAGAACCAAGAAGTATTGCGGAAATGCAGGGGTCAACAACTCAACTCCAAGGCTCAAACTGAATAGCACTGATGTTGAAAACCTAACTCTCTTCAAATGAAAAAACAGAAGATAAATGAGTTGCTGAAGCTATCACATTCTAATGCGCAAGGAGTCCATATTACAGAATTTCGCACTTTGTTTAGTTTATTAAAACAACCAAAGTACAGTGCTTACAACAACCTCAATAAAGAAATTCCATGCCATAAAGATATATGTGAAGGCAATCGAAGACGGTCTTTCTGACCAAATATTACTGGAGTAGAAGTCATACCTTCAAATTGGTATCAAAAGCAGATGCTAGACTAGCAGTGTAGATGCACCTACTCAGCCGTCCAAGTCCCTCCTTCAAGAGCCAATTAAGGGCAGCAGCTGCTGGAAGTGAACGAGAGTACCCAATGCCAATAGCTCGAAACATTGCCTAATATCAGTGCATCCCCACGTATAACGAACCATCCCAACCAAAATTTATACATATCTTAAAATTAAAATCGTTTATAATTCTATCTTATAAGCATTATAATCCTAAAATTATCAAACCTCACAAAACCAGCGTGTAAAATCTCCTGACAACTTATTTTGATTTATTTCACTTATTCATTCTGTACATTTCAATCAACTAATAAAAAAAATGTGTCTTTTATCACATGAATTCGTACCTGAGTGGCGAGGACCTGTAGTGCCGAGCTGAAAACCCGGTGCAAGAACTTCCATTTCACATAATCCATGTAATTTCCACTAACTTGCTTAGGGATAAAGAAATCCCTAACAGCCAAAGTACAGATTCTATACAATTTTCGGAACCCATCTTCGAAATTGAAACTAAACGACGCCGCACCGCCATCTACTCCAACTAACTGCAAACAACTGCCATCCCAGAAGTACCTAAAAACTCTACCTGACCTCCGAATCACCACCGGAAGACGACCCGGCGTGGCGGGTCCTGGTTCTTTGCCAAGGCTTTCTTCTGGTTCATATCCAATTGAAGTTCTCAATGAATTGGTAAAGGTTGGGGCTTTGAAGCAGGTTTTGAGCTTCTTGGGGAATGGTCTCTGAGCTGTGAATTGGGTTTCATGGATTTTCCTTGGAAGTAGAAACTGGTAGGAGTTGGAGGCTGTGTAGAAAGCAGATTGCATGAGAAATGTACCTGGGAAAATTAGGGTTTGTAATTAAATGGGTCTAATTTTCGCGCCAAGTATTGGGGACTTGTTAGTAGTGAGGGTTTAAGGGTTTTTTAGAGCTTAAACAGAACCTGTTAATACTGACTATACTACTGACTGAGCTAACTTACCGAGAGAAACAGAGGAAAGAGAAGTTCCTCAATCTTTTGTTTTGCTTTTTTTCTTATAAAAAAAACAGAATTTTCCAAAACATAAATGAGAGATAAGATTCGCCCAACTTCACAAAAGGCAGCCACGCCTTAGACTCGCTTTTTTTTTTTCCTTCCAAAAAATATTTTACTTTTGGTTTTTTTAAGGGAATTTTTTTTGAGAAGTTATGGAAAATTTTTAGGAGATGAATATGATGAGAAAAGTATATAGTGTTGAAATTGAAGCTCCCTAGTCCTAGTGATTTACTATATTGTTTCTTTAATACAATAACATAGTTTAGTAGACTCGCTTTTTTTTTTCCTTCCAAAAAATATTTTACTTCTAGTTTTTTTAAGGGAATTTTTTTTGAGAAGTTATGGAAAATTTTTAGGAGATGAATATGATGAGAAAAGTATATAGTGTTGAAATTGAGGCTCCCTAGTCCTAGTGATTTACTATATTGTTTCTTTAATACAATAACATAGTTTGGGGGGAAAGGTTTAACAGTGTTGTTTAAGTTGATCTCATCAAAGTAGTCATTTTAATGCTCATAACGGGTAGCTTCAAAATTTCATACAAGCGATATTTAGACGACATACTTTTGGCCAAAAAAAAAAAAAAGAGAAGATATTAGACGACATGCTGAGGTAAATGTTCTCAACTACTTGCTCCTTGCATACTTTAAAAAACCATTGGCTAAGGGAAACTAGTTAAGCAACCCAACCTTAGCATTACCGGCCACATCCAAGTCCATAACTGATGAGTCTTCACAAAATTCACACCATCTCCATTTCTTTCAAACTTGGAGGCTAGATAGACCAAAGTGAAATCCTTGGAGTCTCAAAATACATAAGAAATGAAAGTTTCTTTTCCTTTCTTAAATGTACAGAAACAAGCCAAAACCTGGAAGCCTATGGCTCAAAAGCATCTGGCGTCGCATGCAAAACTGCCCATCATACTGAAAAACAACTCAACTGTTGCATCTGAAAATAGAAACTTTCATCACAGCATCATTTCTGTCAATCAGCTCAAACACACAAACATCTCCCACTTTCAAAGCATGATCCCTTACAAACTGGTACCACCCTGCAGAGAGCCTGCAAGAGTTGCGGTTAGAAGTACACTTCACAAGCCACCTCCTCTTTGAGTCTTGAAGCCTGACATACTTCTTTTTGCCAATACAACTATTCTGAAAGCTCTTTGGTATAACCTGCAAAAGTAAGATTAAAAAAGTATTATTGCATATATACTATCAATATATGCACCAATTGATGCCTGAACAAATTAAAAGAAAACTAGCCCAACAAATGAATATAATTTTGAGAGAAAAGAAATCCTGCCTGAACAAGCAAAATAAATTTCATATTTCTTGAGTAGCAAAATTTGAACAGCACTAATGCTTCTCCAAATCATCGTGCAATAGTTACAAGAAAAATGCAGATATGATCGATGACGTGAATCAGCAATATGATTTCCAATCATGACAGTCTAGATGAAATCACAACTCTCAAGTTTTTTTGTTTCTCTTTTCTTCTTTTGTAAAACTAAATCAAAATAAAGAGGTAGGAA